TATCTTGTATTTGTTACTGTTTTAGGCCAGGAAATTCATTAGTAGACCACATAAAAGAAACAAGGGGACAGATCAATTCTCCAAAGCAGGGGGGTTAAAGAGGCAGTAGAGTGGCAGTTAAAAGATAACCCTAGAAGCCACATTTTCTGGGTTTAAGTTCTAGCTCTACAACTTATTAACTGCATGCATGGACAAGTTATATAACCTCTGGCTCCCCATGGTAAAATGGAGATAAAAATAGCAGCTACCTAACAAACCGGGCAGTTTTAAGGATTGAGAGTTAACATATAAAGCACTAAGAACAGTATGAAGTAAGTATTACAATTATCACTACAGAATTTTCCTCTAAGGACTCCAGTAGCTTGTGGTTTTCTATTTATATATCTGTTACTTTCTGCTTGGCTGTGAAGGCCCCTTGAAAGCAGTCTGCTTTTGACTCAAATTTGCACTGCCACGTAGTGTTCAACAAATATTTGTCGAATGAACGAAGGTCAGGGTTAAGAAAAATATGAACATATACTACTACTTCAATATATAGCAAGCTGGGAAATAATAAATGGGAGAGGAGACTGAATGTCACCATAAAGCTTAACTTCTCATAAAGTCAAATGTTGATAGTTAGAATTATCAACATTTTGATAATTATCAAATATCAACATATATATATATGTAGAGAGAGAGAGAGAGTGTGAGTCTCACTTTGTCATCCTCGGTAGAGAGCTGTGGAGTCTTAGCACACAGCAACCTCAAACTCCTGGGCTCAAGTGATTCTCTTGCCTCGGCCTCCCAAGTAGCTGGGACTATAGATACCCGCCACAACACCCGGCTGTTTTTAGAGACGAGGTCTTGCTCTGGCTCAGGCTGGTCTCAAACCTGTGAGCTCCGGCAATGCACCCACCTTGGCCTCTCAGAGTGCTTTGATTATAAGCATGAGTCACCTCGCTCAGCCTACAGAGTCAATTTTAAGAAACAGCTACTAAAAAGTGTGTTCACAGTATCACAGTCCTTACTTCAGAGGTAAACCAACTAATGAATAGCAACTAATTCTACCTTGGCAGTTTCCCTCTGTATTTCTAGGGAAATTATTTTCACAGGTAGGTAATTCCATCTTGTGAAGAATAGTATGAAGCCTTGTTAGAGTCTTGAATGTTTGATGATTAACATGGAAAGCAAAGTGCACATTTGGTTCTTCTAGCTCTTTTGCAACACCAGAATTGAAAAGTAGGAGGGATGAAGAGTCCAGCTGACTTTTCACAATGTTAGTGTGACAGGTTACTTACTATTCTTTGCTCAGATACCTGGGCAGTCAGCCAAGATCCTAAGAAGGAATGTCTTCACTCTTAGCAGGGCACTACTGACCTTCCTGCAAATTCTTGTAAAAGTGGTAACTTCTCCATCATAGAGATTAAATTTAAGTATTCTATTATTCCACAGAGAAACCCATGTATTCCTTCTGTACTTTCTAATGTATCTGATTTATATGTATTTTTGTAATACAAAAATAATCATTATAATACTTTCATACAGTTTATTTTGTTGTCATTCCCTATGGACACAATCATAACATTTCCTCCTGTAAAAAATTGTTTTGAAGGCTGGGTCTAGTGGCTCATGCCTGTATTCCTAGCACTCTGGGAGGTCGAGGCAGGTGGATTGCCTGAGCTTAGGAGTTCCAGATCAATCTGAGCTAGGGTGACCCCAGCTCTAAAAAACAGCCAGGTGTTGAGGTGGGCACCTATTGTTCCAAGTACTTGGGAGGCTGAGGCAAGAGGATGGCTTGAGCCCAAGAGTTTGAGGTTGTTGTTGAGCTATGACATTATTGCACTCTATTGAAGGTGACAAAGACTCTGCCTCAAAACAAATAAACAAATAAAAAAATCTGCTTTGAGTTGGCTTACAAAAGACAGCTCTTTTGTAACCCAAGAGATTGTTCACACACTCTCCTGAGTAGGTACAGAGATTAAGTCATGTTTGAGTTTCCTGTCAGCAAACTGAAGTCGATTCCTCCTAATCGACTTTCTCTGTGTTATCTGGCACACCAGTGACCTTCTAAGGGTGACCTGGTTTATGGTGCTGTGTAGCAAAAACAAGAATTTGGGGCCTAGGGTCTTGGGTAAATCATTTGACCTCATCAAGTATATTTTAAGAGTAGGTACAACTTCCCTTCTGATTCTAGAATTCTAATATTTTGGATTGGAAGGAATAAAGTTCTCATGTAATCTACATGCTGGTAAACAGTTCAGTTTGTACACACATGAGGAGCTTGTATGTCTATACAGAACCTCAGTTACTAAAAATAAATTTTCAGAATGACTTGGTAAGTTAAAACATAACATGGCAAAATGGAAAGAATTTGAGACTCTTGGGGTGAACTACTGTGTGACCTTGAGCAAGTAATGCTCATTCTCCTTGGATCTAAACAAACTCAATTTTAAGATTTGAAGTCGGGAGGTTTGTCAAGATGATCTTTTAAAATGTCCCATCTTGTTCTACAATTATTAAGTCTAAGATTCTCTGATAGTAAGTACCTTGCTTTCTTGTTAAGATTATTACGACAGAAAGCACTGAAACCATAATTTCATGACTTTGTTATCTGACAAAATAAGTAGGAAACCTACACTTACCACTTACTGGGAATTAGCCATTGCCCCCCAATGAACACCTTATAAAGGCAGAGGAGTAATGTCCTTGCCTTGAAAGCATGTCTTTTTCAGGCCCTGGAAAATTTTCAATTCATTCAGCCACTTCCCCAACCATTATACTATTTTGGAGAAAGTGGAGGGAAATTAGTCTCATCTATAAATGCAAGTAATGAAGCGATTTCTCTGTCCGATGGCAAATGTCACCTTCAAACAGAGAGCAGATTATTCCTACGTCAGAGTTCCCTCACCATCTAGTTCCCTTTTAGCAGGGACAAGAGATGGAGCTCTAGGTATCCAAGTCTTCCATAATAAGATGGTTACATTGTGTTACATTTAAAAATAGTGCTCCTGGAATTTATAGCATACAGATCAGTAAAGAATACATGCAGTAGTTATTTGGTTAATGATGCTATCACTTCAATATATCCTTGGCATTACAAAAGGAGATCAATGGACAGGTTTTAAAGAACATTTTGTTAAATAAGATACGGGAGAAACACGGCTCTTGAGAAACGTAGATTATAAACTAGGGCACCTGGTAAACACTACCTTTACAGGAATTTTGTGGCAAAAACCCTTAAAAACACTGTGTTTGAGAAAAACGGGTTAGGACCCAGCCCTTCCCGCCCATATCAAACCTCATCGTCCTTACCAAACCCCATATTGTCCTTCAGAGAAAATCCGCAGCCTCGTATTTTGTCCCCCGGCCCCTCCCCGCCCCCCTGCCATGCAGCAGGACTGAGATCGCTTTTCTCCAAAGACAGCGACATCTCCAGTGCCTTCTCTCCCAATGCCCCTCTCCCCAGATGGAAATCGACGCCTTCCAATTACTGGGCTGCCACAATCTCAAGATGAGTCGGGAGCTTCCAAAGGGCGCGAAGGACAGTGTCTTTGCATAGCTACCTCCCAAAAGAAACCTCATGTACGAGGAACCCTGCACCTCCGAGGTGGGAAGGAGTCCGGGGTCCAACTCACCATGATTGATAACTGCGCAGACAATTGGAGCACCTGCAAACGAGCCGCAGAGAGTCAGGTCACCTCTACCGCGGAACCAACTCCGGGAAGGCGAGCGGTGTCAGCGAGAAAAGTCTCCGCTCTCGACCCGGTGCCTTCTGGGAACTGTAGTCTACGATGCTCTAGTTCTGGCGCAATCTCTAAAGTGCTTTCTTCAAGTGCTGAACTACACTTCCCGAGACTAGAGTGTCTTCTCAAGCCTTTCTCCCTGCGCTCTCAGCAATTGCAAAGTAGTCCTGGAGGACGAGCCGCTGTGATTGGAGGACGATTGTAAACGGATGGTTTAGGCTGGGAGGAAAGGGCCCGCCTGATGGCGCCCAGCAATTGGCGGGAGGGGAAGCGAGTGTATTTGAGGGAGGAGAGACGGTCTCCTTAGCCACACCACCCACACGCAGGCCACTGAGATTTTAATTCTCCCCCGAGGGCAAACGTGGGTGGCTAAGAGACCTTCCGCTGCGTGAAGGCACCTCGACCCGGAAACAAATCATTTTAAAAAAGCTATTCACGCTTGAGAGGGGTGGGTGGGGAGGAGTTTATATTCCGGGAGATCAAGAACCGCTTCGCAGGTTGCTAAGCGACGAGGCAGGAGCGTGGGTGAGCGCCCGGGTCGCTGGGGAGTACCTGAGGGAACCGTAGTGGCTCTAATTCCCTAACCGAGGGCGTCCAGCTAGCGCGCCGCTCCCTCCCAGGTCTTCTTAGCGCAGAGAAGAAATCCTCTGCCTCGGGTAGTGTCCGGTGACGGGGCAAGGGGTGTGCGAGACGCTTCCTTCAAGGCGGCCGGCAGAAGCTCTTCTCCACTCTGGAGGCAGGTGAGCCCTTTAGAGTTCGGAATACTGTTGTGCAGCGTCCCGCAATGGGTTTACCTACCCTGATGCGGATATAATGCGCGGGTGCCTGCAAGTTCTCCGGTCCCTTTTCTGCGCTGGATATTAGGGCGTGGGAATGCAACAGTGTTCTGGAAGGCGCAGCGTCCTGGAGTTCGCCTCCCTCCTACCCCCGGTCGTAAAACGCAGCTTTTGCAAAGTTAAGTCAGAAGTATTTATTGAGCGTCTTCTTTGTGGTAGGTGAGCCCTTTCCTACCAGGAGCTCACAGTCCACGGATCTAACTTTCTGTAAACCCTCTGTGAACGTTGGCACTTATGCCCATTCTATTTTGGAAACTGTATGCGCTTTAAACTTTGACTCTTAAAATTGTGCCAAATTTGTATTTTTGAGGAAAGAGTTTAAGTTGAATGGGAGGCATTGGTTGCATCAGGCAGAGTTTCACCTGGTAAAACAAATTAATAGGTTTGCATTTGAAATTAATCTTAACCAAGGAAATTACTGTGCTTTCTGAAAGTTTGTTTCATGCGGATTTTAAAAAGAAGATGTGATGCTCTGGAGTAGCATACACGTAATGGAAAGGAATGATATTTTTGTTAGATAATATTGTTATAACCTCTGTTTTTTCTTTGACTGGCAAGTGAATGCCAACTGAAGTCTTTCGATTTTTCTCTTTCTTTTCTTTCTCAGTCTCACTTTGTTGCCTCAGGTAGACTGCCATGGCATCATAGCTCACAGCAACCTCAAACTCTTGGGCTAGAGCGATTCTCTTACCTCAGCCTCTGGATTAACTGGGACTACAGGTGCCCACCGCAACACCCAGGTATTTTTTTTAGAGATGGGGTCTGGGTCTTGCTTAGGCTGGTCTGGAACTTCTGAGTTCCAGCAGTCCATCCAACTTGGGCTCCCAGTGTGCTAGGATTTGTTTGTTTGTCTTTTGAGACAGAATCTAACTCAGTTGCCTTGAAGTTGAGTGCCGTGGCGTCATACTTCACAGCAACTTCAAACTCTTGGGTTGGAGAGATCCTCTTGCTTCAGCCTTCGGAGTAGCTGGGACTACAGGTGCCCACCACAATGCGGGATCTCATGCTTGCTCAGGCTGGGGTGTTTCAGTTTTTGAGGATTTGCTATTTTAAGAAAGAACTATAATGTTTGGTTTTCCTCTTTTGTCACTATCCTTCTCAGTTCTTCCAAAAAAAATTTTTTTTAAGCTCCTCTCTCTTAACATTGGGGTCTCTGTATTCCTTTTTTTCTACACTCAATCTCTAAATGACCTAATTTGTACTTGCATAGCTTCAAATGCTACCTCCATGTCAAAACTCCTGAATTCATGCATTTATTAGTATAATATTCCTGAATTCCAGACTACTATTTGTAGCTACTTGTTATTTCCATGTGACTTTCTAATAAGCCTTATTTCCATTATTTTACAGTGTTTTCTACTGAATAATTGTATATAGAAGTATAAAACACTCCATAATATGAATCACCTGACCTGTGCCCAATTCCAAGATGTTGATTGTGGATAAGGATATGAGATTCCAAACTGAATAATATTAAAGAATTAGTTAGATGGAGACTGCTTTAATACATTGGTGAGGGGGATGTAGGGCAAGAGTTTCAGGATGTGTCACTCCATTAGGCACTAGGGATTGAGTAATGAATAGGATACAGTTGCCTTTTTTGAGCCCCCAGCATAGAATGTGACACATATGTAAACCTATAATGACAACATAACGTATTGGGTAGTAAACGTTAAAAAATCAGTAGTTTTGGGCTGCCAGGGCTTCAAAAAGGTGGTGCTGCTTGAATGAGACCAAATGGATATTTCTACCAGGCAGCTAAGGTAGGAGATAGACTACGTTTGCAATGTTGCAGGTAGGGTTGGGTTGGCAGTAAGAAAACATGCAAACATGCTTTAAGTTCCTGATTTAAACATATATACATACATGATTTAAGTTCTTTTCTTTTTGAGACAGAGCCTCAAGCTACCCCCTGGGTAGAGTGCTGTGGCATCACAGCTCACAGCAACCTCCAACTCCTGGGCTCAAGTGAGTCTCCTGCCTAACCCTCCCAAGTAGCTGGGACCACAGACACCCGCCACAATGCCCGGCTATTTTTTGGTTGCAGCCGTCATTGTTGTTTGGTGGGCCCGGGCTGGATTTGAACCCGCCACCTTGGGTGTATGTGGCTGGCGCCTTAGCCACTTGAGCCACAGGCACCAAGCCATGATTTAAGTTCTTAATAATGAATTGTGGGCGGTGCCTGTGGCTCAAAGGAGTGGGGCGCCAGCCCCATATGCTGGAGGTGGCAGGTTCAAACCCAGCCCCGGCCAAAAAAAAAAAAAGAATTGTGATAATATTCTGTCCTAGTTCTAGGCAACTGTAACAAAACACTGAGGGGGGTTAAACAATCATTTATTCTCATAGCTCTGGAGCCTCAGAATTCCAAGATAAGAACATCAGCAGATTTGGTTCTTGGTGTGAGGACACTTCCTGGTTTACTGATGATTGTCTTTTCCCTGTATCCTCAACATATGAATTTTGAGGGGATGGAAACATTTAGTCCATAACAGTATACTACTTTGATACATTATGTTTTTCTCTGTGTTCTTATCTCTAAGTTCTCCCGTTAAAATGTTTGCCTGGTTTTATAATTTATACCCTCAGTTAGTATTACACAGATACTTATTTTATTTATTTATTTGTTTATTTTGAGGTAGAGTTTCACTTTGTCACCCTTGGTAGAATGCTGTGATGTCATAGCTCACAGCAACCTCAAACTCCTGGGCTCAAGCTATTCTCTTGCCTCAGCCTCCCAAGTAACTGGGACTACAGGTGCCCGACACATTGCCCAGCTAATTTTTTGTTTGTTTGTTTGTTTGAGATAGTCTCAAGCTGTCGCTCTGCGTAGAGTCTCGTGACATCACAGTGCCGGGCTATTTTTTGGTTGTGGTTGTCAGGGTTTGGCAGGCCTGGGCTGGATTCAAACTGCCAGCTCCGGTGTATGTGGCTGGTGCCCTAGCCACTTGAGTTAGAGGCACCAAGCCAGTGCCTGTCTATTTTTAGAGACGAGGTCTCGCTCTGGCTCAGGCTGGTCTGGAAATCATGAGCTCAGGCAATCCCCACCCTCCCCGCTGCCTTGGCCTTCTAGAGTGCTAGAATTACAGGGATGAGCCACCATACTTGGCCCAATGACTTCTTTTTTTACCTGAAGATAAAGGAAATATTGAAAGGAAGACATTTGATGACACTTGAGACATCAAGGGTAATACAACAACAGCTCTGGTGGCCATTCTAGGAATAGAGTTACAAAATTGCTTTGAAGGGTAGACTAAACAAGGTATTGGTGCATAGCTTCCCAAGGAGCATATTTGGAAGATGACTTTAGTGATATTTAGCAATGAGGTGGGTGGCACTTTTTCTAGAATAAGTTCGCAAACTTAATTGTCAGCCCTCATGTTTTGTGATTATAAACAAAGTCACATGAATTATTAATAATAAAAAAATCAGAAAAATCAGTGAATGCTTTTTCCTATCCCCTACTAAACTAGAAATTATGAAAACTTTGTTCACTACTAAGTGCTTCACATGTCAAATAATATTGCTATTTATGGTTTGTGACAGGTGGAAAAGAGTCGGAAGAGCTAGACCTTGGCCAGTGATGTCAGTATGGGTTGCAGCAGGGATAGGAGAGTAAGGAAAAAACAAAGCTGTTGAATGTGGAGAGCCACCATACTGAAATGATGGCTAAAGGCTGTAAAAAGACAAAATTACAGTGAATTTAGTTATAGATTAATTGGCTTATATTTCTGATTCATGAGTTGGGACAGCCTTTATTTTACAAAATAGAATGAGAACTTTTCAATGGGCAATGACAGAACAGTGGGTTTTGCAAGGTGGGAACAGGGAACCAGAATAATAGGGAAAAAAATCTGAGTTTTCGTTAACTTTTATGGCAGGAAAAAGGATTGCAGACTGTTAATGCATCTGGGCAGTCTTTTGTCACACTGCTCTGGGGCCCAACAGACTTTGTCCATTGTATGTTCTCCAAGCCCATAAATTCCCCTAAAAATCAATTACTATCCCCTTAAAATCATCCACATATTCCTATTTCTCTTTTCCTTTTGAGGAAGGGTATATAAGCATCGATGCCATTGAGTTATTGGGTAATCATACTCCTGCAATTCCCCATACTGTATGTGTTAAAATAAAATTTGTATGTCTTTTCTCCTATTAAAACTCCCTCTTTTTTAAAACTTTGCATACTTTTTTTGAAGGGTTAAAGCAAAGAGAGGGCCTTCCTTGTCTTGAAAAACTCTTGTTTTCAGGAAAGACTAGTCAGCTTTGGGATCTACCTGCTTCCTTAGTTTTAATTTTATTATGTAGTGTTTAGCCTGAGTGACTCCATTTTGGTTTGGCCTGGTCTGTGAGGACCTAGTGTAAGTCCTAAGTCCAAAACAATGGTTTCCCATATGTTTTGTGTAACAAAGGGGAGGAAAAACATTGAACAAACATTCATTTGCGTTACACATCTTAAATTTTAGTAAACTACTTGCTGTTGCACAAACATGTCCTGCAGTTTTCTGCCTCTATATTTTATGTGTGCATTTTCCTTAGCTTCCATCTCATCCTCTGTATATTCCTATTAAAATCCATTTCATAAGGCTCTCTTTAACTGCTTTGATCTTAAGCCTTTCTTTTTTTCCTTTTTTTCTAAATCCACTTTACTATGGATTTCATCTAACTTCAATGGTTAAAACATCTTGCCAATCTTTTTTCTTTATATTTTAATTTTTAATTTTTAATTTTTTATTAAATCATAACTTTTTACATTGATGCAGTTATGGAGTTCAGTGTACTGCTTTGATATACAATGTGAAATGCTTACGTTGAACTAAGTAACACATCCATCACAATTATACTCATTCTTAATAGTTTTGAAATGTACCATTGCATCATGTGCATTAGGTGAGTTCCTCCAAAAT